CCTTCTACTGAGGAAAAGTACCCAGGATTCCTGAGAAACTGTGGCTCGTATGCATCACTGTTTTGAAGACTGATTGTGGCCCAGCACACAGGGAGGGCTCCTGGAGGTGATGCTACACAAGAAAGTTCAGGGTGGCAAGAATTCAACACTTTCCTTCCTCAGGCCCAAGAGTCACCAGAACTCACCCTCATGAGAGGGCAGACATCCTAGGGGGCACTGGGTGACACCAGCCCAGCAGAAACACAGCATTAGCGGCATGCCGACCAAAGAATGCTATTTCTCTCCAGAGGACTAGGAAGAGCCATGCTGGGCACGTCTGTCAACCCCAGCTGTTTAGGACAGGGTGACCCTATGACTGGTTTTTTTTCCTATGAGAAACCTTGTAGATCTGGGGAGTACTCCTGGGGAGGCTTCAGAGACAGCTGAAGGGCCTGTTATCAGCAGTAGCAAAGGCTTCATATACGTGACTTTATATACACAGCTTCGTGCTTGTGGTTGCCAGTTCTAAGTACCCATCTGTGTGGTGATGTGTTGTGTGGTGTGGTGTCTGTCTGTCTCCTCTACACCTTGCTTTGGCAGACAGAGTTGAAGCTACAGAGAGTTGAGAAATAGCCGACCTTCCCCATGCTGTGGAGGGGACTGTGGTTCTAACAAGCACCTGATTGCCTTCCCTCAGCTTCAATTTTAAAGACAGGTATAGTTATACCCATAATGCATTAAGGTCTACAAAATGCTTAATACCAACTAGCTCATAGTACAGAAACTATACTTACTAGTCATAAGGTCTTCCTGGATTGGGAAACATTAGCACAATGCATGTACGTGGTAATTTAAGAATATAAATTTGACTTGAGAATTAATTTCCATCAGACATCTGATGGTATAGGGGTGGAGTCTGTGACTATTTCTTGCACTGAATGGAATTTGGTTTCTGACTGGGGAGGTCAGGCCTACACACTGGCAAACACTGGCTGCAGGGCTACTCCGTGCAGCACGAAGACTCTTCTGAGAATCTGAGGCCTGTCTCAGGGAGAGAGCCACACCTGCCCCAGCTCAGGGGACACAGGGCTGCTGCAGGCAGAGGCAGAAGAAAAAGGGCAGCGTGTTTTCTATTTAGATGTGGGTACAAGGCGTGTTGTTTCAGTTCTCAGCTGCCCCACTTTTTTCTTGTTCATCCCATGGAGATAATAATACCTGACCTATTTCAGGCTTGTTTTGACTATAAAAGAAAAATCAATACATATGGAACACTAAGAAAAAAAATAACACCCCACAAATATAAGCTACTGGGATGCACTGTCCTTGGCCCTGGCAGCCCACTCTGGACACGGGAGCAGCTTGCTAGGGTGCTTGCCAGGGCACGTGTGCGATTGCTCTCCGATGCTATCAGAAGTTGTCTTTCACAGAAAGGAGACATGGAAGAACTTGGTAAATTGGGATCTTTGATTTTTTTTTTCTACTTGGCCCCAATTCTGGTAGCCCTCTTGCCAAGTGAAAAAGAGCAAAAAGCTTAAGTGATCTCATAGGCCTTTAAGCTCGGTAACGGCTGGTGTGATCCCCACACCTCAGACATACATGTTCCTGGCTGTGATCATCCACCTCATTACGCTCAGTGTCAGAATGGGTTAACTAGCAGTCACCTGTGGGGTCTGATGAAAACACAAGGTAGGATGGGCCCGGGCAGGGTTAAGGCAAATGAACCGACTGGAGGGGTGGTGTTTTCTAATCACAGATCTGTAACCTCTGGGAGGGTTGCTGGGGGCCTTCCACAGTGCCCTCATTTGCATGTGTATCCTTAAAACATTGTAATCCAGCCTTCCTCTGAGAACAGTCGCAGGAAGGGGTAGACAATTGCTACTTAGTAATGCTCAAGAGACAGCTTTCAGGATACACTTCTCAATACCCAGGAGGTTTTAAATAACATTTAGATTATCCCTTAGGTGCACTTGAGAAATGAATGGAGCCTCAGTTTTCAGAAACATCTACCCGCTGCTTCTCTCTGGACGTCAGTTATCTTCCGTCACCAGCACTGGCAGTCACACTTCCTGTGACCACGGGCATTGTCTGTCTAGTAGTAGTCGCCACCTGAGGCCATCAGGCACTTGAAGACTGGCGACTGAGGCATCGGAACTAAAGTTTACACTTGATTTCATTGTAACTACTTAAAATATATATGACAATAGCCTCATGTGTTTAGGGGCTGCTGTGCTGGACAACAGTATACAGCCTGAGTGAAACACATCCCAGGCTGTATGAAGACAAGGTGAGAAGGTAGGGGAAAGTAAAGAAAGGTCAGTGTGAAGCTCCTCTTCACATTCGGTAGGTCAGCTGATAACCAAGAGAAGGCAGACTCACAAAGGCATCCTCTCTAATTGTCTCCAACATACATTGGCTTTTGCTGTTTTGTCTTTTTTTTTTTTTTTTTTTTTTTTCTGTTTTGTCTTTTATGTAAATTCTGGGATGGGCAATTCTGCACCATATGATTATGACATTTCTGTCATAAACTCTGAGATTTTTGTCCACAGCATTCCCATGTTCCAGGGGCTGTGAGGTGGTGTCTGGTCTTTCCCAGTAAGTGTCCTTGCTCAAACTCTACATAGCAAAAGGAACTTGTTCCTGAACACCTTCATTCATTAGTCTGTGTGCGTGTATGTGTGTGTGTGTGTGTGTGTGTGTGTGTGTGTGTGTGTGTATGTGTGTGTGTATATATGTGTGTGTATGTGTGTGTATATGTGTGTGTGTATGTATGTGTGTGTGTATGTGAGTGTGTGTATGTGTGAGTGTGTGTGTGTATGTATGTGTGTGTATGTGTGAGTGTGTGTATGTGTGAGTGTGTGTGTGTATGTGTGAGTGTGTGTATGTGTGAGTGTGTGTATGTGTGAGTGTGTGTATGTATATGTGTGTGTGTGTATGTATGTATGTGTGTGTGTGTGTGTGTGTGTGTGTGTGTGTATTCCTGAACAGGCTATTTCACAGGTGCTTTATAAGTGCTGATGAAGCAGGCACTTGGTCACTGTCACTTTTCTTGGGTCCCACCCAGGTATAATTAGGGACTTAGTACATGCTTCTTGGTAATGACCCAAAGGATGTTTAGCCTCAGTGGGGCCTACACAGCCATTGCATTTTAAGACTCAAGTTTTCACATTAACGTCTTCCAGAAAACAATGTACTGCTGCCTTTGTAGGACTGACTGGTCATGGGGAGTGGGCTAGGATGGGTTATTTTCGGAAAGGACTCCGGAATTGACCATATATTTTTGAGGTTGAAGCCACCATTATTTGAAAGCTAAGAAAACAGTCTTGAACTCATCAGGTAGTTGGATGATTGGAAGAAAAAGAATGAAGATAATATAAATACATCTACGGTCGCAGTATGCTCAGTAGTGAAGCAGAGAATAAAGATCCTTGTCCACGCAGTAGCAATGCTATGTCCTGTGAAGGTCTAGGAAATACAACTAGCAGCCAAAGAGAAGGACAGCGTATCTAACAGCACTAGCCACTACCCTGTTCCCACTGGTCGCCACCAGCTTCTAGCTGTCTCCCTGAATGTACATACTTTCTAAGACGATTTTTGAAACTCCAAGTTATTCAATCTGGGGCTGAAGATGTAGCTTAGTGGTAGAATACCCATCTCAAATCAATCTTTCGGGTAAGGATAAACCAAGGAACAGAACAAATGGCTTTTTCTTTTTCAGGAATAGACAGGTTGCCCTCAAGCCCCTGTGTGTTAAGTAAGCACTCTACCACCGAGTCACACATCGAATCCCCTCCCTCTTTCCAAAGGCTAGAGCAAACAGTAATTTAAAGTAGTGATTCTCAAAGTGGGGTTCTAGAAGCAGCTGCCTCAGCCTCACCTGGGACCTTGTTACAATGCAAATTATTGGACCCCACCCTAGCCAGACCTACTCAAGCAGAAACTCTGGGGGTGGGACCCAGCCATCTGCATTACTAAAAAAAAAAAAAAAAAAAAAAAAAAAAACCTCCACATGACTGTGTGTGCAAGAATGTTGAAGAAGCACTGTTTTAAACCAAAATTGAGACAGTTGCACGCAATGAATCTCCCCAAAGTGCCAAGTCTTTCCCAAGTCTATAAATAAGGTCCGAACAAGCCCTAAATACTAACAGTCCCCACTTCTGAGAGCTGAGCACACCTCCCCTCTACTCTCCAGGAGGCTCCGGCTGGGGTGGGCTGATGCTTCAAAGCTGAGCCCCACAAACTCATCTGCTTCCCAGCAGGAGATACAGAAACATAGAAAGGGAGACAGGGGAAAAGGATACTGAAAATCTTTGAATTAATAGATTTCACTGAAATCTATCAATTTTAATTCTGCTCGTTTTGAAACAAACCCAATACCTAGTACTTTCAAATCATCAGCAAAAGAAAATGCTTAATTAAAAATAAATCTTTTCAGGGCATTGCTTGCTGGCGGTATAGCTCTGCATGTATTGACAGAGGGCAGCACCTGGAACATGCATGGTTGGCCTATGTGCCCACATGCTCAGTTCCTAGCTCCTTGACCCTCCCCCACACCCGACCTTGCAACCCATGAACTCTTATCTTTTCGTCACAAACACAAGCACAATTCCATACTGTAAGGGGGAAATATTGAGACCTTAGTTGTCCAAAGACCTGAATGTTTTCAAATTCTGTTTGACGGTGTGAGACAGACTTATTTTTTCTACCCCGAGAAGGAAGACAGCCCTAGAGGCCAATATCATTTTCGGATATCTCCCACCACAAGACAAACATCCATGCAAAGAAAATACCAACTCCCCTCGGTGGTAACTTTTCTCACTTCAGATTGCACCTCTCATCACGACCTCTTCCACCCACATAGTCATGTGCCATAGCAGTGCAGACTGTCTCCAACATTTCAAAGGCTCAAAAGCTATTTTTAAAGCCAAAATACAATCTAGGTTGCTCTTGTATAAGACACTTTTTAAGGAAAAGAAAGAAATAACACAGCAATTTCTATGTATGTGGGCAGTTAGCCAACTCACCAAAAGATTGAATGCAGCTGTCGATCAGATCATCCAGGCTGGCTCCTTTGGTCAAATGTCCCAGGGACACCATCATTCGGAACTGGGTGATCTGGGCCAAGCTAGGCTGGGCAGGGAGAGGGCCGTTGACTGATTTGGCCTCTAGTCTTGCTTTAGGGCCAGCTCTAGAGCCATGGGGAGGTTTCCTGCCGGGAAAGAGAGGTCCAGGTTAGGATAGACGGAGCAGCTGGGGGTCTCGCTGGCAGCTCTAGGCTCTGAAGACAGAGGGAAGAGGAGCCAGGGCAATGAGTCCCTGAAGCCGGGCTGGTAGAAGGCACACCCCTCCCACTTGTCAGGCAGAAGCACTGAACGGACTGGTTGGCTGTTAAAGAGACATCTCGCCAGCAAATGACAAGGTGAGATTCCAGAGCAGCAACAGCTTTCTCCCCACTGGTGGAAGGACTACTCCATGCTGCCGTCTCTCTTTCAGAAGGGGAGAGGCAGAGGGAAAACTGTACCCTGGCAGCCCTTAGTTTCTAGCTGCTAGGCTACTGCCTTGGGGTCTGAAGGACTGGTTCAGTTGGCCTCATTTTCAGCTAGTTTCATTCATTTGAGCAATGCCTAAGATGCTGAAGGGCAGGGGGCCTCTGAAACACCTTTAAGAGCCTTGCAGGAGAACTCAAAGACTCCAGGGTGGGGAGAAAGTGGGGGTTATTATAGTGGTGGCATTTAGATTTCTCAGCCATCTCTGCTTCTCTTACAAGTCTTGGTTGGTTTTAATGAATAGTTTCATTTTTGATAACACAAGAAATCACTATGAATCATTTAGACCGGTAAACATTCTATCAGGTCCTTACTTGGGTCCTTAATGAAGAGAAGAAGGGTGGAGGGGTTGACTCTGAGCTGAACTACCTGCTCTAGAACTGAATGTAAAATAGCTGTTTGCGCCTGGAAATGGCTTAGGAGTCTGGTGCTTTTGCTTAGCTTTAGTGGGCATGACCTAGTTGATACAAGCCACTCTGCAAAGTGTCTCATGTAGTGTGTTTTATTTCCCTCTGTTAAAAAACACCCAGAGACCCGCATCTATAATCTTTGCAGGTTCACTAATGAAAGGTGTTGTTGCTGATCACTTTTGGGGCACGTACTTAGGTCTCCTTTTCCTGTTGCACCTTTGGCTAAATTATAGTGCGCTGTCAAAGAAGAAAAGCGAAAAACGCTCTAGAACCATAACACATATTAGACGCATAAACCGGCATCCATTAGCCAAGTACTTAGTCCATGAGTAGGACACTGCAGTAGGTCAGGGGAGACCACAGCGAGATAGACTTTGTAATTACTCTGTAAATTATACCACATGCCCAGTGCATGTTAGTTATTCTTGTATAAAAGCATCAGGAGTTCCTTCATACACACAGCTCGAGTAGGAGAGCCTAAACGAGTCAGTGAGTGTAACCACATAACGGCTAGGCCAATGTCCAAAGAGTGCGGAGGGCAAGAAGCATAATGTTCTCTGAAGAAGGAAAAGCACTTTCCAGGGACTGTGCGGAAGATGTGCCCTGACAAGGTAAAAGCTTCACCCAGAAGGGGCCAACCATACACTTATAAAAACAAACATCAAATAAACTAACCAACAAAACACCACCCTGGGCACCCCTGGGTTTGGAGAAATCAGCTTGCATAAAGACAGTACTCTGAACATGGGCCACACCATACAGCCAGACTCCAGGGGAACACCCTGGTCCTACCAGTTCTGTTCTAACTTCAGAACATCAGTCTGTGGTGGACATGGGGCTCTGTTACAAACTGAGGTGGGACCAATGAAGCCTAGTCACTCTGGTTACCGGGGAACCTGCTAGTCCAAGCCACTGATTTCCAAAAAGGATCAGGTTGGGGCTGCAGAACTCCATCGAACTCTTGGCCACCACTGATTTTTATTCAGGCCCCAAGAGTCAGATCAGTGTGTGAGAACAAAATGATAATCTAAAAACAGTAACAGCTCTCACAAATTGAGTTTCCATTTTCCAACCACACTGTGCTGGGATCTGCATTGTGTCTGAAGCTACAGCCCAGAAAGATGCTACCATTTGATGTGGAAACTGAGTCCTAAACATTCTGAGGCTGTGCATGTGGACTATCTCAGGGGACTAATACCTGGAGTCTCCCTGGCTTTATTCATCTAATTGGCATTTGGGGTGGGGGCTATATGCTTATAACCACACTGGAATTGTTGAGTAGATTGTCAAGAGACTGAAAGGGTTTATTCAATGTACAACAAAAGCCAGCTCCTTCAGAAAGATGGCTGATAATGAAAAGGTGGCATCTCAGTTCTTACTTGCTCAGCAGGTCCCTGGAATGGTCCTTAGCACCTGAGAGCTGCCCAGTCTCTACACAGTCCTTCTCCAAACATCCACAGATAAACGAGAGAGCTATGTTTGGCCTCAAGTACAGAGAAGGCCAGCAGCTAGCTTTCTTGGCACTGTGCCACACTTCCTAGCTAGGCTCCCTTCCCTTCCTACAAACTGTCACAACTATCCAAACCTGGTCCAGTGCTGAGAGATTCAGGCATGGAGGAACAGGAGAGAAAGTGTTAAAAGCCCAGGGCGCCCTGTGGGCTGCAAACTCTCCTTCTGCCCAGTCTCTTGACTGCTTGCCCTGGAAAACTCTCAGAGTAGTCTAGGGTGGCCTAGAACTCTCTACCTTCAATCAGCCTTCTGGTGCTGGAACTGCAAGCATGCCTCATCCCACCTGGCTAAAAAGCAACCCTGCCACCCCACTAGGATGCAGGGAAAGGAAATAAAAGAAATATCTTACATTGTTTTCTTTCATAATGCTAGGGACCACATCCAGGCTTGTCACATGCCAGGCAAGCCTCTTCGCTGAACTACACCCCCAGCACCTGCCCCCTTCCACCTTTCCTCTCTCCCCACCTCCTGGTGGAATGGTTATAGACAAGGATTTATACCAGTGGTTCTCAACCTTCCGAATGCTGCCACCCTTTAATACAGTTTCTCGTGTTGTGATGACCTCCAACCCTAAAATTATTTTGTTGATACTTCATAACTGCAATTTTGTTACTGTTATGAGTCGTAATGTAAACATATGACATGCAGGATATCTGATACATGACTCCAGGAGGTTCAGGACCCACAGGTTGAGATCCGCTGATTTAATACAGTGCTCTATTATAGGAAGTTTTGAGAGCGTTTTATCCATCCACAGAAGGCACAGCTGCTAACTCTACAAAGGCATATTTTAAAGGGCAGTAGCCACACGTTTCTAGTTTAACTTGAGAATTAAATAAAACAAACCAACAACAAAATCTTGAAAGAAACACATTAACTTGAAGATGTTTTCTCAGTTCTACAGTGGTTAGCTCTCCCTCCCCCAACACACTCCCAGAGCCTGCTGAAGGAAGTTTGAACTGGTTTGGGGGACTTGGTCTCCAGGCACAGATATCCCCAGGACAAAGGAGGAACAAGGGAGAGTGGAGACATCGGTGATCTGCTCAGAGTTGGAAAGGCGGCTTTCGTTGGCCGCTTCTGCCCAGGGCGCCTTCCAGTCCTGCCCCACGCCTGCCCACAATACGGTTAATTTGATGGACAGATCCACTGCAGGGTAGCGCAAAGAAAGGTGGAGGACACTCGGATGCACGGCCCGGCAGGGAATTAGAATGGACATAATGACAAACATAGGTCGGTCATGGTGACCTCACATCTGCGTCCACATGAAGGGCATTGTGAAGGGCACAACCCGATCGGCCCCAACCAAGGCGAAGCGGTGTCCAGGCAGTTGAGGGTTCCTCGTGCTTTGAGGGCAAATGTCAAATTCCTTGACCACCTAAGGCCCTCATCGCTTCCAGGAGCAGGACTGTTCATAGACGCTCTTTCTTCACTTTCTGTCATCCCAAGACTCCCCCAAACACCTCTCTAGAGTATGGGCGTAGGAGCGCAGGCTCGCAGACCACTGATTTGGAAACTTTTTTTTTTTTTTATTCTCAATGGCAGCCAAGCCAGGCCACCTCCGTTTGCAGCCATTTCTGCGGGTCACTCCAGAAAGGCCCGGAGAGACCACCAGGTGGCGCTTCCTGCTCCCCGCGCCCTCAGCAGGTGCCAGGGGCTCAGAAAGTATGCGAGTGGGAGTTCCCGGGGGTGACCTGCCGAAGAGCATCCAGAAAGGCCCACTGTTGTGGGGCGCTGGGTAGGTGAAGGCTTGGGCCCAAACCACTCCAGATCTGGCCAGGCGACCTGTGGCGAGCCTCGCCACCCCAGCGGCCCCGACTCTGTCTTCCCTCCTGGCCCAAAGTGCTGGGCTCCAGGGGTGTCTGCCTCACGCCTATTCTCCCCCGACGTCAGTCTTGACCTGGCTCCCGGGTCTACCTCTATGGTCCACCCCGGGAAGCGATTCTTCTCGGAACCAGTCGCCTGGTCCTCTGATCCCGCTCCTTACCCACTTGGAGAGGACCGCAGGGGACACTGTTCAGCTATCACTCCCCACTAAAGATGCCGAGCTCCCCGAGGAGCCACAGCTACTCACCGCGGAGCCTCTCTCGCCTTGCCCAGGGTGCCCATGGCCGCGGCGCGCTGCGCTCCTGGAGCCGTCTCACCTGGAGCGGCGGGACCGGCTCGGCGGGGCGCGGCGCATCCCTCGGCCGCCGCCGGCCCTCGCAGCCCGGCGCCGGCCACTCTCGGAGCCAGGCGAGCCGACCCAGGCGCACCCGCAGGCACAAAGTTTGTGCGAGCGCGCTCCCTGCGCTCGCTCCCGCGCGCGCGCACACTCCCTCGCACCAACCACCTGACAGGCGCTGATGTTATCATCAGGCTGGAGGAAACGTGGGGCGCCCTCAGCTCTTCTTCGAATCCTGCCCCCACTACTCGGTAGCGCCCTGATGAGGACCTGCGCAGCCTTCGCTTCCTTCGCCCGGGTCATTCATCTCTCCCAGCCCAAGGGTTAGGTCCGAGGGGTCGGAGTGAGCGGCCCTGAAACTGACCCAGCTAGAACCTTGCAGAAGAGTTGCCTCCACCCAAGGCCACGGGTCCTCTGGGGGTTGTACCGAGACCCCTTTCCGGATCTCAGGGCTGTCTTGTATGTATCAGTGGGGGTGTACAGTTGGGTCAGGGCAGGGAAGGCAGAAACCCCCTAAACCTGCGCACTTAGTTAGTTCTCTTTGGCACGTTTTACAAGAGAGGACATGGGTGTGTGCACTGCATCCTAGAAGAGGTGGTGGGTGTGGAGGTGAGCTCCGGAGGAGTGATCCATGTCGAGTGAGAGACAGCTGCTTGGAGTCTGTGGGTGTGGGATACCAGCGGAACCAAGCGAGGGATGGAAGGTTGGGGGAGGGGGCTTTCTGGCTGTGCCAGTGTGCCAGCAGACGTGGCCAAGAGGGGAAACCTACCAACTACCTGTCTGAGGCATGGCAACGTTAGTAATAATGGCAGCTAGTGGTGATCCAGTGCTGAGCTACCTGTTTCCCACACATTACCTCATTTAAGCCACCCCTCCAAATGCAAAGAGGTCACTACTTAAGGTTCAAAGAACAGTAGGTCTCATAGCCAGTAACCAGAAAAGAGAGGTGGCCCAGACTCAGATCTGCCTGGCGCCTCTAAGTCCCTGTTGGACTGGCCTAATAACACACTCCTTATTGTTATCACATCCCATAATCTTCCCAGCCACAAAGTCCTGGACCTTAAGAACTCCTTTTGCTGTATCTCATACATTCCTTCATGTTTATGTGCCATGTTGTCCTAGAAAAAGAACTGAGGATCATTTACAAGAATACATAACCTACAAAAATAAGTAAAAATAAGTATGTGTGTGTGTGTGTGTGTATAGTGTGTGTATTTGGGGGGGGGGAGGCGAGGATAAGGCTGATAAAATGGGGCCAAAAAAGAACATTATTCTGAAAATCATGTGCTAATGTATACGTACGCATTTGGAAAACAGAATCCAATATATACTTGCTTCAAGTGGACCAGTCAAGGAGTCAAGTCCAAGAGGGAGGCCTGTTCTAAAATTTACTCCCTTACGTATGAAAGACACCCATCCCCCCCAAAAAATGTATTTCAAAAATCTGCAGTTCTTGTCACAGATACTGGGAAGAAGTTTCTCCTGAGGATGCTCCTGAGCATTATTAGGTGATGACTGCCTCAGGGTCATGCAGGATAATGGCAACAGTGTGCAGGCTGGTGCCAGTGAGTGAAGTCCTGATGAAGCAGAAGTGGGGGCCTCGCCTTGCTTTTTCATAAGGAGGGAATACCTATGGCAGCTCAAGGAAGCACTCACCCGAGACCTCCCATGTTTCTTCTGTCTACTACCTGAGTAACCTGCCTTCCCTAACCTAAAAATCATGCCGGCCCCATCTCCCTCTTCATCTCCTGCCGTGTGCTAGTCTCCTGGGCACTCGGACCACTTCTAACTGGAGACCGAGAGTCTGCTCTTTCTGTACCCCATCTTACCCCTTTTCACTGCTGCTTCAGCCTTCCCAATCTGGTACTGTCAGTGCCTCTGTGGCAGTCAGGATCCATCTGGTCTTTCTTCCCAGACTCTGCAAGGTCAGAAGAAGTCCTCTTCTTACTCAGGAGTTCCTAATGAAGGTCCACAGACCCTTTACTCAGATGAGGGACTGAGGGTGTGACATCTTTGCAATTGTATCCACTTTTTGTGTATGTTTTTCCTGGGGAAAGTGATTTTCCTTTCGTTGGCTTTTCTATATGACCTGCACTTCAGTGAGGTGTTTTCATTTTCTTCCTTGGCTTCAACAAGACCCACAGGATTCCGTTGAGTATCTACACTTAGTATCTAATGGAGTCACATTTCCCTCTATTGCTCCCTATACTTATCCCCTCCTCTCTGTCTCCAAAACCACAAACTGGCATGTTTTCCCATCGTCCCTCACCAGGACATGTGTCATAGACTTATAACCGGCCTTCCTAATTTTGAGATTTCCTTTCTCTGATTTTTTTTTTTTTTAGGTCTTTCCCATGGTTATATTATCATGCTATTTCTCAGCTTCCTGACTTTAGGGATTCCCCATTACCTAGAAAATAAGGTTTGGACATCATAACCTTGTGCACCTTCATGGCTGGACCCTCATGTCTAGTACCTGACTTCTTAGGTTGAACTGTGATCACTCCTGATAATTGCTCCTTGCTGTACCCTATAAAGCAGTACATGTACTTATAAGCTTGCTGCTGCCTCCCATCTTGCCTTGCCTGGTAAACACAACGTGGAGCTATACCCAGGTTATCTAGAAAATCAGGTCACCCTAGAGGGCAGACATGGATACAGGGTGTACACACCTCTCTTCAGACCTGACCTGATGACCGGCCATGCTTGGGGAATCTATATGGCATTGTCTAAGACTTAATCATCCTTTGAAGATGTAATTACTAGAGGCCTCCCTCGTGTCAGATGCTGTTCTTGCTACTTGGCGTCTGGGAGAGAACAAGACAGGCAAGGTCCTTGTGTTCATGAGCTCACATGTCCAGCATATGGACAGTAACCAAGTCAGCAAATAAATGAACATATAAACATGCTGCAATTTTAACCCTCTCCTGTCCGGGGACTGCCAATTCAGGGCCAGGATACCTCTATCCTCATGGAGATACGTCGAAGTGTCCCAGTGGAGGCTTCCTCCTCATGGTCCCATGTCCCAGTCAAGAGCTCATGGGCCTGTAAAACAAGGCCAGTGTACAGGGGCATTCAGCTCCAGAGGAGAGTGAAGAGATGAGAGTGGAATGGAGTCAGGTTACAGCATGCTTTGCTGACCATGGTTCTGTCCCTGAGGCAGGGATACTTAGCCTCATTATTTGTGTGACTGTGATGGTTGTTCTACAGTTTGTTTGTTTGCTTGTGTGTATATTTACGCATTGTGTGTCGGCCTGGTGTCTTCGGAGAAGAGGGTGTTGAAGCCTGTGGAACTAGTTATGAGTACTTGTGAGCCATTGTGTGGGTGCTGGGAACCAAACTCAGGTCCTCTGCAAGAGTACTAAGTGCTCCTAACCACTGAGCCATTGCTCAGGCCTTTGATTCATGGGTTTTTATTTTATTTCTTGGCTTCTTAATTTTTTTCATATAATATATTTTGATTATATTCTTTCCCCTCTCCCAACTCATTCTAGAACCTACCTTACTCTACCCACCTAAATTCATGTTTTTCTCTCCACTAAAAAACAAAACAAAACAAAAAGACAAGAAATAACAAAACAAAGAAGCACACAAAAACCATGGTGTTTATTTTTGTGTTGGCCATCTACTCCTGAGCTTGAGGCCTGCTCTAGAGTGTGGTTATTATTACTCAGGGCACTCTGCTGGCAAAAACTGCTCTTCCTTCTCCCGGGAGGTATCAACTGCAAATAGCTTCTTGGTTGGGGTCAGTGTTTGTACCCACTTCCCCTTCTCTGTCCTGAGATCTTTCTCCTGCTTGAACTTGTGCAGGTTTCTGTGCGCTGTCACGGTCTCCATAGGTTCCTATGTGCATGAGCTTTGCTGTGTCTGGAAGACACTCTTTCTTTGGAGTTATCACTATCCCTGGTTCTTACAGTCTTTTCACCTCTTTCACATAGATCCCTGAGCCGTGACAGGAGGACTCTGATAAAAAGACTGGATTTAGAGCCGAGTGCTCCAAAGTGTCTCACTCTCTGCACGCTGTCACTTGCAGACCCATAAGCACAGTACATTCTCTCCTGTGGCTCACCTCAGACCAAGGCTAGGAGGGCATCTCTGTGTGAGAGGTTCTCCTTTGCTTCTGTCTTTCAGACCTGGGCTTAGAGTTGAACATTGTCCTTGTGTCCATCAGAGGCCTCCCAGGAAGTCTCTATCTGGAGGAGGGCTTGGGGAGCTCCAATGAGCAGAGGTGTCTTCTCCAAAGAAGAGTTTTGTTTGATAGTTTGTATTTAAACAGATCCTGTATAGCCCAAACTGGCCTTAAATTTGCTTGTACCTGAGGATGACCTTGAACTTTGAACTTCTGAGCCTCCTGCCTCCATTTCCAGAGTGCTGGCATTACAGGCACCAACCAATATACCTGGTTCATTCAGTACTGGTTTATCCAGAGCTCATTCATGCTACACAATCATTCTACTAACTCATCTATTCCCAAGTCTTCAATGGGGGTTTTATGAAGGCCATTACATTGTATTTTGTTAGACCACTCCAAGTCAGATCCTAAATGTAGAAACCTGTTCTTGTTTTTAGCTGCTTTGAAGATTGCTGTCTGATTCTGTGAATTTCTTTACCAGAGTCTGGCAAATTGTATTTATTTATCCTACGAGCACATAGGCAGAAACAGTGTCTCTAAATAGTCTCAGCTTTGATTTGAGTATCTTTTAGGATGCTAACACAATAAACACATGATAATGCAATACACTGTACTACAATATGAAGAATAGAATACTATATATAATATGATACCATACCATACCATAGCATACCGTATCATAGAAAAGGTCTCATGATGTCTATTTCTGGAGAGAGAGAAAACTTCCTGGAGAGGAAGAAGAGATGAGGGCTGGGAGCTGACTTCTGCTTTAGCAGGCACACACACCTCTGTACAGGTACGGGTACAGGTATGAGGATGTGGGAGAAGTGCCCCTCATGATACTAACACGGAAAATCCACTTTGTTCAAGCAGCAAATAGTATCACCTTTTCTTACCAATGAATGAATTCACTGGTTAAAAGTATGAGTTGAGAGTCAGACTAATTTGG